CTGAAGATATAAAATGTAATCGACAGCTTTTTCCAAAATCATACTTTTATTTAGTTTCGTACTGGTAGCGGCGGTTGCTGGAAGTGGAGTAGCGGCGGCAGTTTCGTTACCGTCTTCATCCTGCTTCTTTACGGAATCACCTACTTCGAAAGCGGTTTGTTCACTTGCTACCCATGGAATGATTTGTTGTAATCTTGCAATTTTAGTGTTGATGTTTATTCTGTAACGCTTTTCGATCTTGTTATGAGCTTGCTTTTGGAAAGGGGTTAATCTTTTTCTTGGGGCCCTCTTTTTCGTTTCCTTAGCATCCAATCCTGTTTTCATGAATGGATCGTTTAATTCAATTTCGTTTTTAAGTGAGTTATCATCGCCGTTGTCACCGTCCATCATGTTAGGCATATATTGTAAAGAGGCCGGTTCAAAGTCCGCTAATAAAAGAGCGTCTTCATCTTCCTCTTCTCTTTTTACTGAGTTGCTGTTGTTAGCGTCGGGAGAATTCGAGTAAGAGGAAGTATTACTGAAAAACTCGTCTGTTGGGAAAAGAGCGGATTGTTCATTATTTGAACATATGAATTGGTCTTCGATGGGGGAGCCTATCGAGGAACTAGATGCAGAGGAGATAATGTTTTCCAAGGGTTCGAACCATGTGGAGGAAGATGCAGAAAGAACCGATGAAGAGTCTTTGTTGGAGATGAGATTACCGGTCCCGTCATTTTCGTCGGACAACCAGTTATCAAATTCAGCTTCAGGTTTAATTAATGTGGTTTCGCTAGATCTAACATTTCTGTCTAAAATAGAATTCATAATTGTTAAACTTGAAGATTGATCTGAAGATACGTGAATTTGCGGTTATTTTTTTATTTTGCACCAAAAAGTTATTGTAGTGGACAAAAAAAAATAATGATAATAAAGTAGAGAGACTTTAAGTTGGTATGGTTGTGGTATTTTATGTTTAATAAGAAAGAATAAGAAAAGTAAAGAAAATATATAAAGAGTAAAGGTTGATGGTTGGGAAATACAAAAAAAAGTATAATAAGGATAAAAATAAGGTAGGTTTACTTTTTCGTGAATTGATATATGAATGAGAAATGAATGTTACCAAGTTTAAAGTTTGGAGATAACAAAAGAAGTTTATATAAGTACATTTGATTGTTGAGGTGGAAAAAAGGAAATGGAGGTGGAAAAAATCAATAGCAAAAGTTGCGTTTTGCGTCCCTACTAAAAGTGGAAATGTCGCAGACACGGTATCATCAACGTCGTGAAAAAGAAAAGAAAAATAATTGTTATTTGGCGAGTCGTGAACGTGCGCACAGGGGAAGCCCCTTGTAAAATTCGTACGTGGGCACAATGAATGACGACTGCAGAAAGAAACCGCCGCAGCAGCAGCTTTAACATTCTAGAACAAAATTATAGTTCCTTACCAAATGAAAAGGCCACGTTGTTAGGGGAGCAGCAGAAGGAGCAGCAAGGGAAGCGAGCCCAAAAAAAAAAAATCCCACTCCAGGAGAGCATGCGGGACGGCCGGAACTGGGCTGAAACAACCTCCGCGGGCGAAAGTACAAGAAATCTGTTTGTTCCGGTTTCAAAAAAAAAAAGATTTTCCGGATGCTGCTGGGTGTAACGCAGGTATTCGGATGCATGCGTCATTTATTTTTCTTACCCATGTGGAGTTTTGCAAGATCCGGCAGGACCGCCCACGCGAGCGCTCCGTGAAGGGGTGGCTGGGTGGTAGGGGGCCGTGGTTTAAGGCGGTTACCACATTCGGCTTGGTGCCGTGATGTTTCTTTGCCTAAAAGAAACTGAGACATGTTTTCGCCTGATTTGTATAACCTAACATAATAGTATGGCCAAAAAGGGTTTTTTGCTTTTCTTTCCACGTGTCTGTAGTAGCATAAACGAAAAGTGAGTTATAATTAGAGCCCGTCAGTCGTTTTAGCGCCCACTCTTTCCCCGGCGTTCAACAATACGATGTGATTGGCATTGCATATTCGCCGACTTTGCCTCGTTAATTTGCTCGTTGCTGAGCTGCCACGTGATGGAAAGACACCTGGGTTCACGTCCGATCCTTCATGTTAGAACGAGCAAGTAGAACGTGGCAAACGTGGATGAAGCTTGTTTTACGTAAGCTGCAATAGCATTCTGCTTTTTTTCGGTCTTTAGCCTCGCTGATAAGAATGTGAAAAAGTAAACGATAAGATCAGAGGTCGCTTCATCAGCAAGACACAGAATTGCGGTTTTCAAATCTTATCTCGAGGACCTAGTACTAGTGTTATGTAAAATGCAGATCAACCTGATGAACCAAAAACAAGGGTAGCGGTGGAGTGAATACAAGCGCGCTTATCTGTTGCTTCTTGGATCACAAACCCATACTAATGGATAAGCGCTAACTGAATCCCGCATTAGATAAGGCACACGCAAATCGGCGGGCTAGTCGATATTCAATTATGTCGGAATCATATGGCTGTCGCCCACAATCGCGGTCCCTTTTGTGACGTTTTTACCCAATCAAAAAGGGTGTTAAACGCCCATTATGCTACCTTACTCGGTATCACTGGTTTTTTTGTTTTCCAAGCGCCCTGCCCTTGCCAAGAGCGGTTAGCTTTTCTATTCAAACTTTACCTCTCTTGCTGAATATCTAAACTTTCTTCTAGCCTACCAAAAAGGACTTGGCTTCGTAAGTCAGCAATCTCATCGCGGTGGAGTATCAGTATGTACAATCAAGCACCATCGCAGAATGTAAGGAGAGAGACGTTAAATAGCTTTTTTTTACAGCAGTAAAACTATTTTGTTAGTACTGAGCGTTGAGTTCTGTGCCCAATACCAAATAGAATCAAAGTTGATAGTTTACAAAGAAAATTCCAAGTTCTGGTATGTGTAGTTCTGGTATGTGTGTTATTCAACGGTTCCGCAATGTAGGCTTTGGTTCAAGTATTCTCAGCTGACGGAATCGAAAGGGCATTTGACTTTTTCTGGATCCTATATTTCAAGTGCTGTGCGCTCCTTCTTCGGAGCCTAGTGTAAGGCAACACTGCTCATATAAGAGCGGCTCAAAAAAAGAAAAAGGATGCAAAACCTGGTTCGGTACATGTAATTGTATTGCACTTACGTCAAGTGATATTGAATCGAATACTATATATACTTGGTGTTACATTACTCCGCATACTACTATTACAATAAGCAAGAGAGTATAGCCAATCGTATATGCAATCTCATTTCGAAAATGGCACTGCCAATTTTTTTAGGTTGAACGACAGTCAAGACGATGTGCCTATAACATTTAAAGTCTCAGAAAGTACTGCTCTCTTTGGAAACGTGATCAAGTCCGATTTTTTCTCCTTTTCGTCCAAGATTGACAGCTCTAAACGAATATTGATTACTTTCGTCATATTTCTGATAATAATAGGATTCATGATACTCATGGCTTGGTTATTGATTCGAGTTCTTTCCAAGAAACCTAATGCGTCTCCAGTGCCGGGGAATACTGCTCTTCCCAAAGACACATTTGAGTCATATTTTTCTTATTTGTTATACGAAATCACTCAATTTCCACCATTCGTGCTTTCTTTCGTGGTACTGATAATTTTGATTGTGTCAGCTGAAAACTGCAATGTTCACTCCTTTTACGTCCTACTTTTTGTGTGGTTGTTTATAGCAGACTTCTTAGGTTTAGGTTATTCGGTGTTTAGATTTAATGCCGGGAGCTTCGACGACAATTGTGATACAAAACTTTTACTGGAGGTAATAACACGTAAACCAGCAGTAAAGGGAAGGAATGGAGAACTATCACATACAACATGAATCAATATTTGTTTGACAATGGATTATGGGATACCCCATACTATTTCTACAGTGAAAACAATTGTTACCGCTATTTTATAAACCTTATTGAAAGAAAACATCTATATTCACAATCAGACACCACGGCTATCGGTGCACAGTGGGATGTGCTAGAAAGTGAAACCTCGGAAGATGCACCTAAATCGTATGTCTCTAGTTCCAAGTCGGATCTGGAAAGATGTCGTTTCCAAGCAGCTTTACTTGAAAGACAGGCGCAACGTGAATATTGGAGAAAACATTATCCAGATGCTGGTATATTCTAATTGTTGACAATTAGTAGTTTAGTAGATTGTAGTAATTAAGAATAAGCAGTTCTTTCTTATTATTATATAAGAGAGGTATATAAAACAAACGCTGTAATAACGATTTAAATTGTATGATAATTTTTGGGATTCCGTTGTTTCTTAATGTTATAACATTATGTATAGATTACACTAGAGAATTAAGGAATCCACAAAAAGGAATCTGCAATTTTGCGTAATGTTATAAATGATTCTGTTCCTCTTTTTGTATGTTGTCATTCATTGATCCCATTACAATATCAATCCTTGCGCTTCAGCTTCCATTATTTCGACGACACTTTGAATCTTAACTTACTAGTCTTGTAGTTTATGTCATCTTTTAACACCGTATATAATAGTAATAGATGGACAATAGTTGAATCTTGTTCCAACAGATATTGTTGGAATATGTGACTTCGGACATTCCTTAGCGTGAGTCAAAAGTTAATGAAGAGGGCAAATTCTAATTATAGAATTTTTCGAACAATAAAGATCTATTAATTGATCATAACTCAGTATATAAGAGAATGAGTTACACCTGTTAACTTATTATCGATGTTCCGAATTATGTCTGAACCATTGGGTTTCATATAACCAATCAGCGTGTGTTTTATATACCTCTCTTATATAAATTAAGAAAGAACTGCTTATTCTTAATTATTACAACTTACTAAACTAACTAAATATCAACAGATATCAACCTCACAAATCTCAAGACTGGGTAGAATCGATTCATTGAATTCGTAAGGGTTTGCTGGTTATACGTCATTTAGTGTGATGTTCCATTTTTATGCCAAATACTAAACATTGTGCTGTCCAATTTAACTCAACTTTTTCAGGCTTTTATGGATATTTCCTTACAGCACTTTTTTTAAATTACAAGGGCGTGTGGTCTAGTGGTATGATTCTCGCTTTGGGTAACATTCGGCGTCAAAACTGAAAGACTAAGCATGCGAGAGGCCCTGGGTTCAATTCCCAGCTCGCCCCTTTTTTCTCTTAAGAGAACCAATTTTTTTTTTTGTCTGCTCTAATGAAGCATAATGAATATCCCAAGAACAGGTACCCACCGCCTGCAATCAGATGTTTGGCGGGCTAATACCAATTTCTCAAAATATTAGTACTGTTTCTCTTCAAGCATCATTTTAGCCTGTTGATTCTTGGCTAGCTTGACCAAAAGAAAAGGCCACACGTTGACCTTCCTTGCGTCCTTATAATCTCGCATTTCTTATTTCAAAAATAATTGCACAACTCATGCCATGAAATCTTTATGACAATTCTCAACCGTGATCATGTTTCAATCACAGATTTGGACCTGTTCACGATTTTTTCAAAACTCAACGGATTATCAAAAATTGTGGTCTGGTTTCAAGAAATCTTTGTTTGTTTAAAGTAGGTAGTCTTGAGTCTTTTCGTTCATATTCAATAAGTAACAGTATACTGAAGACCTTTGTTATATTTATATTTTTCTCCAGTTTTTCAATTTTGAGCGGATCAGAAAGGGAAAAAGGCCGGCAATGAAGAAAACAAATGATGAAAAAATGTGATGAATGTTTTCATGTACATCGCAGAGAGTAAATATTTGCCTAAAGAATCAAGTTGGGCTTCACTGCAATCTTCAAACGTCTTCACTGCTAAAACAACAAGACGACCCCGTAATTGATTTTTATGGAAACATTGCTAAAAAGGTTAAAAGAGCAATAAGCTGCTACGATATTTGAAGAAATAAATCGATATTCGATTTTCTGAGCATATTTGGTGATGAGTGAAAACGATGGTCTTGTAGACTTACTGGATAGTGATTTAGAATATTCTGTAGAAAAAGAAACCCCTGTGAAGCATAGTATTACTCAATCAAGCTTTAATGACTCGCACTTAACTTCAAAAACTGGCGGCACAAATGCAAAGTCGTTTCTCTCTTTATTAAGTGATGATTCGTTGATCGAATATGTCAACGAATTATCCAGAGCGAATAAGAACAATGCCCATTTGATCACCGGTACCCCAAAATTTGTTACTCAAAAGGTTGACTGTGAAAATTTACATACAGACCTTGACCGTCACGAAGACTTGCTCATCGCTCAGAGCAATATCGAAGTTAAACCAAATGATAACAGTGAAAATGAGATCGATAAGAACAAAGTGTATAGTAGGGAAACCTACTTTCAGGACAAGGCGCAAGGACAAAGTGTACAAGACCAAATATTAAAAAATCAATATAAAGGCCTAATTTCCAGTCAAAATTGTAACTTGTTCAAAAATTGTGTCATCTATATAAATGGCTACACAAAACCTGGTAGATTACAACTACATGAAATGATAGTTTTACATGGTGGGAAATTTTTGCACCATCTGTCCGCAAAGAAAAGAATTACTCATATAGTAGCTTCCAATTTACCATTGAAGAAAAGAATTGAATTTGCAAATTACAAGGTAGTTAGTCCGGATTGGATAACTGAAAGTATCGAAAAAGGAAGATTATTGCCTTGGCAAAATTATTCTTTAACAGCCCAACTTGATGAACAACAAAAAAAACTGGATAATTGTAAAACGGTAATTCCTTTCCCGCCTGAGATAAACTCTAATAGAACACCTGCTTATGTTAGCTCCGCGTTACTGCCAATAAAACCATCATCATCGACAAATATCTATAATATAGATTCTAAAAAAATAGTAGATTGTAATGATCCGGACTTTCTCAATTCTTATTTTGCTCACTCGCGCCTACACCATCTTTCTACATGGAAAGCCAATCTAAGAAGTAAGTTTTTGAACGAAAACATTAACAACTCAATCAGGATCACCAACAAGGACACTTACACAGTATTTCATATTGATTTCGATTGTTTCTTCGCAACTGTTGCATACCTTTGTAGGAGCGCTTGTTTCCTATCATGTGATTTTGAGAAAGATCCTATAGTGGTGTGCCATGGTACCAAAAATTCCGACATTGCTAGTTGCAATTATGTGGCAAGAAAGTTTGGAATTAAGAATGGGATGTGGGTGTCACAAGCAGAGAATCTGCTACCAAACGGGGTCAAACTAATTTCACTACCATACAATTTTGAGCAATTTCAGTCAAAATCCGAAGCCTTTTACCGAATTCTCAAAAACTTAAACATTTTTGACTTGATAATACCCATATCGATTGACGAAGCTGTGTGTGTAAAAAAAACTCCAAATGATATCCCGAATAGTTACATCTCAAATTCCGAGATGTGCAAGGAAATACGCCGCGAAGTTTTTAAAGAGACCAATGGTTGCACGGTAAGTATTGGATGTTCAGATTCTTTGATGCTAGCAAAATTAACTCTGAAAATGGGGAAACCAAATGGTTATAACATTACATTCAGAAACGATATTTCGGAGCAATTTTGGTCTAATTTCAAACTGGATGATTTACCTGGGGTTGGATATTCTGTTCTTTCAAAATTAGAATCAACGTTCAATAATCCATCTTTTTTGAGTGATTTGAGAAAACGTTATACTCTAGATTCTTTGAAGGCAAGTGTAGGTTCCAGATTGGGTATGAAAATACATCTTGCACTACAAGGCCAAGATGATGAAGAAAGTTTGAAAATGCTATATGACCCGAAAGAAGTCTTACAAAGAAAGTCGTTATCAATCGATATCAATTGGGGTATCAGGTTCGAAAATATAGCTCAAGTAGACTCGTTCATCGAAAGAGGCTGTCAGTACCTGCTAATGAAATTAAATGAAATCAACAAAACCACATCACAAATTACACTAAAACTCATGAAAAGATGTAAAGATGCTCCTATTGAACCTCCAAAATATATGGGTATGGGAAGGTGCGATTCATTCAGCCGAGGCAGCAAATTAGGTATTCCAACAAATGAGTTTGGAATTATCGCTACGGAAATGAAAAGTTTGTATCGAAGTTTAGCTTGCCCTCCAAAGGAATTAAGAGGTGTCGCTTTACAATTCAACAAATTGGTCGATATGGATTCCGGCAACAACCAGCCAAAACTGAGACTACCATTTAAAACGATTGTGACAAATAAAGCATTTGAAGATTTACCAGAAGATGTGAAAAATGACATTAACAATGAATTTGATAAAAGAAATTATATGAAAAACGAATCTGGGTTAGCTTCTAATATACCAAGTTCCAAAAAGAAAAGGAGTATATATTTGAAAACATCAAACAGAAACGACTTGCCCAGCACTGTGGAAGAACAATTCATGAATGAATTACCAACGCAGGTTCGAGAAGAAGTGAGGAATGATTTGAGAATTCAAAAAAAAATCCATCAGACGAAATTGGGAAACTTACAAGAAAAGATCAAAAGAAGGGAAGAAAACCTGAAAAATGAGAAAAATCATTTTATGGGTCATGACAGCATCTTCAAACCAATCAAATTCCAAAACTTAACCCGATTCAAAAAGATTTGTCAATTAGTAACGCAATGGGTTGCCGAAACTTTGGGCGAGGGAGGACCACATGAGAAGGATGTTAAATTATTTGTGAAGTATGTGGTCAAACTTTGTGACTCTAATAGAGTTCATTTGGTTCTTCAATTATCGAATCTAATATCAAGAGAATTAAATCTCCGAGCCTCTTTAAACCAGGATCGTACTGGCTTCCAAAAATGGGAAAAAATCCTACTCAGTGTTATAATTCCACTTTTAAACAGAAATAAACACACATTTCAAACTGTACGCAAACTAGACATGGACTTTGAAATATGAGAAAGAAAAAAAAACAACAACACCAGACTCAGTTAGTCTTATATATTAGTTGTAATATCCAAACGTTTATTAAAATAGGGAAAAAAAAAAACAAACAAACTAACTGAACCAACGGACAATTAAATAAATAATTAAAACAAAACAAATAAAGGGACTTTAATTTTTACTAAAACTCTTCACCAACAGTAGAAACACGCAAGGTGTTTGAATGTCCGATTCCGCCTCTGAAACCTTGGATGGAAACAACAGTATCACCACTTTCGAGCATTCCAAAAGACCTCGCCATTTCCACGCCAAACTTTAAGCGTCTGTGCACGTCTTCAGCCCAGTCGTCCAAGCGTTTTGGCTCAAAGACAAATGGAAAAACACCTCTGTATAAATGTGCGATTCTTGCCGTTCTTGCGAGCCTCGTTACTAGTATGATAGGACAACTTGGTCTATATTTAGAGAGCAACCTTGCTGTGTTTCCTGTAGTGGATAATACAACGATGGCTTTACCATCTTGCTCCAAAATCGCTGCAGTGGCAGCGGCTGCAACGGTTTCTGTAGTGGAGGTGGGCTTAGGAGTGGCGTCTCTGAGATCATCATATAGAGCCAAATGCGCAATAGTGCTTTCTGCAATTAAAGCTGTGGCCGCCATTATCTTGACCGCATTGACTGGGTAATCGCCCTTTGCCGTTTCGCCAGACAACATAACACAATCAGCACCATCCAACACAGCATTTCCGACATCAGAGACTTCAGCCCTTGTGGGTCTTGGGTTGTAGGTCATTGACTCCAGCATTTGGGTCGCGCAAATGACAGGTTTGCCCGCCACATTACATTTTGCGATGAGTTTTTTCTGAATGGCCAGCACTTCTGGTGCCAGGATCTCGATACCCAAATCACCCCTTGCTATCATGACACCATCTGTGACTTGCAGGATTGCGTCAAAATTATCCAGACCTTGTTGGTTTTCGATCTTGGAGATGATTTTGATGTCCTGGCCTTCAGGGCCCAAAACTTTTCTAATGGTCAAGACGTCTTCAGGGGCTCTGATGAATGAGGCAAATACCATGTGAATTCCATTCCGCATGCCGAATTGCAAGTCCTGTATATCCTTTGCGGACAGAGGGGGCAAGTCTACGTCGGTATTGGGTAAATTGACACCTTTACGGGATGAGATGTAACCCGAATTGAGAGCTTGGACCCTTATATTGGAATCATCCATGATTTGCAGCACTTTAAAGGACAGAATCCCATCGTCCACGTATATGAACTTCCCGGGCACGATTACT